GAGGCTATAAGTGATTTACTTTTGTGTGTTTTTGTCAGGCAGAAATTTATTTATACCCCCTGAGGGTGTAGGAGGTTAACTCCTTTAGATCTGGACCTGATGGGTTGGTTGTTAAGATCTTTAGCCTACTTCATGCTGTCAGAGAGGCAATATCTATTCTACAGAATTGACATGTTAGATAACTTAGAGATCCGACAAATGTTTTTATTAACAGGTTTGTTTAAATGCCCCTTTTCTCACTCATAAATAAAATAAAAGTTTGAAAGGTTGTTTTATTTACTCTGGTTATCCCAATATGATAGTTCTATGATATCAAAGTGAAAGACTTTAAAGTCTGATTTTAGATATAAAGTCTAATTTAACAGGAATATGGAGCCTAGGCCAATCAGCTTTGAACTACGCCTCCATGAAAGCCAATCAGCATCCAGAGTTCATCTTAAAAAGCCTCTGATCCGCAACTCGTCTGCTTCTAAGTGAGCAGGCGGTGGTTGCGCCGTGTGACTTCATTCAGATGACCTCGTTTCCACCCACCTCCAGCCCCTCCTCCACCATCGTAGCTAAAACTTCATCAGAGTTTCATTCCTTCCAGACTCTTACTGCGTTCTGCGTCTCATTTCAACCGCCATGTTGAGCCTGGTTCTGCCAGAGGTTTCTCCCCAACAGGGAGTTTTTCCTCTCCACTGTCGCTTCATGCTTGCTCATCATAGCCAGGTTCTCTCAACCTGTGTTATCCAACTGGACTTCCATCTTCCAGGTCCCAGAGTGAAGCTCTAGTATCAGCTCACGCAGTTCACTGGATCTCCCCATAAAGCTCAGCAGACCGTCTCCCTAACCAGCAGTCTACAGACTGACCAACTTCATCTATCTCCACTCCACCACCAGTTTCACTCCTGGGGGGGAAACAGCCCTGTTCTTTGCTCCTGTTCTTTCATATCTATCAAAATTCAATGCTATGTTTTGAGCGCCAAAGACAAGTAATTGTATCAATAAAATTCTTCTAATTTTCTTTTCTCTTCGTGTGAGTTTTTCAGATTGAAAAACAAACTGAATGTAAAAACCAGAGCAGTTCCTTTCACACACAGATGAGGCAAAAAGAAGTGGTTTTCTTAGAGGACCAAACACTGCAAAAACAATATAGAAATTAGTAAAAAATGTCTTAAATCAAGTGTATTTACCCTTAATTTAAGCAGGTAAATAAGATGATTTGCCAATATAATGAGTATTTTTACTCTTAAAATAAAATAATTTGACAACATGCACTTGAAATAAGACAATGCAATTATTTTTTTCTTATTTTAAATGTAAATTGTCTTGTTCCATTGGTAAAGTATCTCACTTTCTACGTCAATTCAGGAAAAAATGAATTTATTTTAAGAAAAAATTACTTGGATTTATTTTTTTGCATTGAGTAGTCTGAGGTTAGGTAACCTTAGGATCTGGGTTGCTCTGAGGTTCTATCAGGTCAGGGAGGTAATTAGCAGCCAGACCATGCAGACCCCTGAAGATCAGAATCAAGATTTTAAGGTTTTCCCTGACAGCTTCTGCTAACCAGTCTGAATAAGGACCAACAACATCTGACGGAAGGTCAGGAAAACAGTCCAGAACAAGGACAGTTCAGAGATCCAGGAGTCCTCAGCTCGATCAGGGGTTCCCTTCCACGCAGGAACAGACGGAAACAAGGTTCCAGGAATCCACAGAGCGTGAAGGCAGGTTCTGAGTTCCACGAGTCCAGAATCCCTCCCAAAGAGACACGCAAAGATGCAGACAGTTGATCAGAAAACAGGAAAAATGCTAAAAACTCTCTCAATCCACTGGCCATCTGGAATGAGGACACGAACCTTAGAACTAACGACAACTAACAAAACATACAGGCATCTACGAGAAATAATCTGGCCCTGATAGCCGGGCTGAGCCGAATATAAAGCAGAACCAGCAGGTGGATGAGATCATTGATAATTAGAAACCGGGCAGAGTAAAGCAGGTGAATGAGATCATTGATAATTAGAAACCGGGCAGAGTAAAGCAGGTGAATGAG